CAGTTTGAAAACGACAGATGCAACCCTATGTTTATCGCAGCACTATTTACAATATCCAGGAAATGGAAGCAACCTAAGTGTCCATCATTAGATGAATGGATAAAGAAAATGTGGTACATATACACAATGGAATATTACTCAGCCATAAGAAGACAAATCCTACCATTTGCAACAACATGGATGGAGCTAGAGGGTATTATGTTAAGTGAAATAAGTCAGGCGGAGAAAGATAAGTACCAAATGATTTCACTCATATGTGGAGTATAAGAACAAAGGAAAACTGAAGGAACAAAACAGGAGCAGACTCACAGAACCCAAGAATGGACTAACAGTTACCAAAGGGAAAGGGACTGAGGAGGATGGGTGGGAAGGGAGGGATAAGGGTGGGGAAAAAGAAAGGGGGCATTACGATTAGCATGTGCAGTGGGGGGTCGGGGCACAGGGAGGGCTGTACAACAAAGGCGAGTAGGGATTCTGCAGCATCTTACTACGCTGGTGGACAGTGACTGTAATGGGGTGTGTTGGGGGGTACTTGGTGAAGGGGGGAGCCTAGAAAAAATAATGTTCTTCATGTAATTGTAGATTAATGATACCAAAAAAAAAAAAAAAGAAATCAACAACCATGAATGATAGAAACTCCCAACAATGTATATATAGATGGCCATAATAATGTACCTCAGTATAGGAAAGCCATATATGACAAGCCCACAGACATCTCTGGTTTAACTTCTATCTTCCTTTTTTCCCCACTTCTGGGATTTGGGCACAGAATGTAGGAAAAAAATCCAAAAATAATTTGGGTGGAAAACACTGTTAAGTCATTTAAAATGCTGGCTCACATCAATATTAAATAAAATGAAAAACCCAGAGTTTAGTCCAAACATACAGCTCAGAGTCAATACAGCCTGGCTCATGTCTTATTAGTCCAACTTTGTCCTGCTACAAAGTGGCCACGTTCATCAGGGGCAGACCATGGCTTTCCTACAAGGGGATTTGATTTCCCATTCCTGTCCAAACTGGTCAATAAAAAATTTTTTTAATCAAGTCCTTTTCTTTTAGAGGAATGAGTCATTTCCTTCTCCAAAGGTCAGTGGCCAGATCCACAGATTTCAGCTATCATAATCTCATGAGAATTTCTCTCAAGTTTTTATCCTGTGAGTAAAACACTACAAATCGTAATGTAAAAGCAATGAATACTCGGGAGAGATGGGAATGAAGCAAACACAACCTTCAAGTCCCAGACCTCCCGGAACTTCAGACTCTGGGGGTGAACCTTTGCCATACAGCCTGCTGGCAGCAGGAGGTAAAGTCAGATTGTCTCTGTGTATCCACAACACAACTAACAGTCCATTAATTCATTTCTTGCAGTCAGTGTAAAATGGTAACTCGATCCTGTATCACACACACATATCTAGGAGGAAAAAGAAGAGGTGAAAACTTAAAATTTCAGGATCTGAGCGTCAGCTCAAAATGGGACCAACGTCATCTGCAATGGTTGATTTTGCCATAGACTTCTAATTTTACATTAGAAATAACGTAATTGTCTGTGTTTGAATGTGTTTGTCTCCTTGGCAAGTCCATTCTCCTTGCATCTGATTGTCACAGCTTCTCTGGTTGTCCAGGATGAAGCACAGCCCCATCCCCAACCCAACCCCATGGGCTTAGCAAGGAGAGGCCCTGAGCATCATCCAGGTAGCGGGTGGGTGACCTTCAGCTTGGCCTCGGAAATTAGCTCTGTCCCAGCCCAGCAGGAGCATTAAGCACGCATGAGGTTCTCCGTGGGGCCAGCACTGGCATTAAGGCAGAGGCCATTGCTGGGACAGCTCAATCCACATGACCCTGGGAGTGGCTCTGGAAGGGCTGGGCTTCCCTCGAGTAATATCGGGGTGCACAGGCACGACAGAAAGCAGGTTTTTCTCCCTTACCCATTTACATAAGTTGACAGGCAATCATTACAGGGCAAGAAACCGAGTGTGCCAAGGCCAGCATCACCTTTCTAGCGTAAGCCCAAGCAAGCTGCCAGGCTTTGCTGCCCTTTGCTTACTTTCCTTCCGTGCATCTGAGAGCAGCTGTACAAGCACACCAGGTCATGCAGCCTCGAGAGGGAATCCCGGGTCCCCTTAACTAGGAAGGGACGCAGTGACCTCTGACTAGAAAATGCTTCCAGAGACACTCAGGTAAGTGCTGCACCTGAAACCTTCTTATTTAAGATAAGTTGACTCATCCCCATCTCTCAAACCATCCATTCTAACAAATAAAACTGTACCTTGTGAGAACCAACTGTGTTACCAAGTCTACCAGAAGCCTGAGTAGATCTGCTGACATGGTTAGTGAGGAATTCAGATAGACTTTCATTTAAAAATCAAGGAAAGCATTTTGGTTGCAGTAAGTATACCTAAAATAGCTGCCCACAGTCCTGACAGCATCAGGCTCTTCTACGTTAGATCAGGTACTTCTAGGATGGTGGGATTGCAGAGTGCTAATGGTGAGAAAAACTGAGGCCCAAGATGGTGAGCAGATCCTGGGGTGGCTGAGTCGCCTGGGCTGCAATCAGACTACAGCCAGTTCCTCCTCTCCTTATGCCACGCTGCCCTCTTTTGAAAGGCTTTAATGTAACTCTCCTTTTATGTAAGCTTTGTCAAAAAATCAAGTGGAAGAGAGGATACAGACTTATGATCCTCATTCCCTTTTCTTCTGATACGTTTTTGGCAGACATCCAGCGCAGCATTCCTGGGTGCAAACCAGCTGGGCTGACGGACATGGCTGTCCTGCCACACTCACAGCATCTACGGGGCAGAGCAGCACAGAGCTGGCAAAGGTACTGACGCTTTCTGGTGAGAGGCAAGAGAACATTGCTTCCCATTCCACGTGGCCAGCTCAGTCCTGGGCAAGGGGTCAGACAAAGTTCCCCTCTCGGTTGGCTGTTCTCTGCCTGCTGCCCCTTATCCTCAGAGCACAGCCTTCCTGGCAGACGCACCCTTAGCTGAATCCCTCAGCCAAAGGGCATGCTATCTTCTGGTGCCCTGGGAACCTTGCGTCACTTCAGAGTAAACAACAAACCAAGAGGCATGAAGCATGCCAGCTTTGTGTGAACTAATCCCCATGACAGGCAGGGAGATGGAAATTATGAATTTAGTTTCTATTATGTGAGATTACTGGGAAAGCAGCGTTCTCTTGGCCAAGCTCCTCCCTGAGAATGCCCAAGGGATGGCATTTCTTTAGAAGAAAAGTTGCCGAAGCTATTTAGTCTGGATCAATATTTCAGCCAACAAAACACACTGTCACATAAGCTCTCTGATGGTTATAAGCATCAGTTCATTTCTTTACTAGGAGGGTCTTTTCTTAAAATGAGCAAACAACATCCAACTAGTAATATTTCATTTTCTCTTAACAAAACTTAGTGGAGACATTAAAGGTGAGTTGCAGTACTTATCTAAAGCTTTTGCTATAGAAGCATCTTAAAAGAAAGAGGCATCTGAATGTTTGGAATATGCTGATTATTCATAATCAGCAATTTTAATAACAATTTTAGCAAGCCAGAAGTGGATTAAAAGAAAACAAGATCCTGTGTAATTCAAAGATGCATAATGTGTGATGCCTCTCCTCAGGAAGGCCATTACCCAGATGCGGAATGTGCCACAGTCCATGGGAGCAAGGTCCATGGTGGGGGCACGGCCTACAGAGGGGGGCCTGGCTCACAGTGGGGATCATGGTCCACGGAGGTGGGGGTGGCGCCAGGGTCAGCAAGCCTCATTACCCTATCACCTGGTCGCAGCAGATGCAGCACAGCTGGGAAGGGGCCCAGAGGTGGGGACACACTGGAAAGGATAGGCGAGCGGGTTTTCCTTTCTCCCTGGCTCTGTCGCCCTCTCAGCTGCATCAGCATCAAAGTCTCTCCCAGCTAGATTCCAGCTAGAACTCTACTGCCCTTAAGCAAAGGTATGGTCTCTTCAATGCCTCTCTCCCCCCACATCAGGGTACCCTTTGGACCCACCCAATGGGGGCCCGTATCCCTTCATCTTCTCTCTGATGCAGCTGCTTCTCAGCCTTGGCCCAGAGATGCTGCCAACCCCAGTGAGTGTTGGTTGTGGCCTCTCTCTGGTCTGGCAAACGTGAAGGCCATCTTTCCACAGCGCCTTCCTGAGGACAGCTTCCCAGAATCTGCAAAGGGCTGCGCTTGTGAACCACCCCAGGTGCTCTGTCCACTGTCAGAGCCGGTCCGTGGCCCTCATCCCGCAGAGTATCATCATGCCAGCCAGTCTCCAGTGACAATGTCCCCTTATTCACCTAGTGTGTGTGAGTGTGCACATACATATACACACATATGGAAATGTGTGAATGTGCACGTACACATACACATGTGGAAGAGTTGTGAATATGCATATACATACACACAGAAATGTGTGAATGTGCATGTACACAGAGGCATGGGAATGTGTGCTAATGTGCATGTACATATACACATATATGGAAACTCACTTCTACAATAAGTCCTTATTACTGTAAATACTTGAGTTCACAACTCCAATTTTAACACAGAAACCTCATCCCCCACTTCTGGATTATTTCTCTAAGTCCCTAAGACAAACCTCCCATTCCCTATGTTGGGTCTGCTGTCAGGTGTGCACAGGCACAGCTAGCCTGGATGGACAGGCGTGGTGCTGGGTTGCCAAGCGGGCACCACACCCCACCCACTGTATCTGAGCCTCAGTAGTTCGCCATCCACGGAAGTCCTCCTCGCCACAGGGGCGCTGTCCTGCCGCGTGGCGTGGCTCATCCCCATTCGCTGTGAGTCAGCGTGAAACACTAGCGCTGGCACCTCTCGTGGACAGAGTACTCTCCTGAGGATTCAGAAAGGCCAAAAATATGAGTTCTAAAGGCCATGGTGGCAAATAATTTCTCCCCGAACAGTGGTAATGGGCAGCCGTACTGGAACCTTCCCCACCTGAGGGTCATGAGCAGTGTGGCCAGGCTCCAGGCTCTTCCCAAACTGCATTTCCTTCAAGGGTCATGTGTTCCTACACGTACCTCTCACCATGAGTGAATACCTGCCCATGATAGCTACATTTTTCTCACTTTATGATAAATTTTTAAATTGGCTGGTCCATTTACTGAAATGAGCCAATAAATACATTTTTCTTGTTTCTAGGCTATTTGGTGGATTTGCTATTTCACAGATTTGAGTCACTGACAGATTTATTTCCATAGTTTCCCCAGAATGTCTGGAATGTGGACACAAAACTCACCACTTATTTCAGGCCTTCTTACACTCTCTAGGGAGGTATGTCTATGCACATGCTGCATACCTGTGCACCGCTGTGTGTACACACACACACAGAACACACCATTGTCTGCACGCACATACACAGATCAATGGACTTATCCCCTCCCCAGAGGCAACGGGCACCGCAGGAGAGGAAACCAAGCCCTGCTGAGGGGGAGGGTCACGCCTGGGCTTAGTCGTCAGCTATGCGGCCTGTGCAGTCTCATGGTGCCTGAGCACAGAAACCCACCCTCTGGTCAACCGGGAACCGGGAAGGCACACAGCATGTCTTCTCATGCTCATCATACACCAAAACAATCAACGGTCCCCTCGACTCAGTGTTCCAGGAAGACCCCAAATACACAGAGCTGACACAGATACAACAATTATTTTCAAATGGTCACATTCTTCTCCCATATTTCAAGTGCCCTCCACACAAATGTTAACATTTCCTGGAGAAGTTGCAGGGACAGGTAATTCTCCAGTCCTCCAGGAGAAAGCAGAGACTCCAAGGGGCCTTCATTCAACCTGGCTGATGAGAAACAGAGCCATCTGGCCACTTTGGGAGGATGATTCTCACTGATGTCACCATCCAAATGAAGGCCACCAGTAGCCACTCCAGGTTGGACAGAGACAACAAGCCCTTCTACCCAAAGGGTTAAGTGTCTCCTGACTAAGGGGCACTGGCTTTTTGGGGCAGTTGCTCCATTTTAAGGGCAAAATTACAGGCTCTGAGGGTTAGGATGTCGACTTCTCACCCAGATATGAGCCATGTGTCAGCTCCTTAAAGATGCCCAGGTGGCACTTCCGCAGGAAGGACAGCTCTTACTTTAGGGGCAACAGTCACCCACCCTGGCCCCAAATCACAGCATTAGCAACTCCTCCCAGTACTGATCTGTCTCACGGCAAAACCGAACGGGTGTAAGTGAGGACCTGCGCTTATGGTAAGCAGGCAAGAACAACACAGACCTCAGCGCGGTGACCTTGCAGAGAGCTAAAACCCTCAGATCTGTCTCACACGGCCTCAGCAAGGCTGCTGTCCATGTGCAAAAGCTTCCAACCCAAACACTTTAATTTATGCTCAAGTTCTGCAGTCTGGCATTACAGACAACCAAGAGCTATAGTGAGCTTCATTCATCAGTGGCTACCTCACCTATAATCGGGAAGGTCTTCCTCTGGGGGGCTGTAAGTGTGTGGAATCCTGTGCCGTGCAATGCACAGGGACATCTCTCTTACAGCAACTAGAGGTCAGAAACCAAATGCTGGACAGACAAAACACTGTCACTCCTGGAGTCCTGCCTGCCCTTCTCAGTCCATAGGATGCTGACTGAAGTGCCACAAGGGAGAAAGAAACATTCCAATTTTTTTTTAAAAAATGACATTCAAGTCTTAACAGCTCTGTGCATCTCTTTCATTAGATGGTTGCTTATTGAAAGGACACACAAAGGGAAGCACAGCCTGTAGTGCAGGCAGTGGCCAACCCAAAAGGTCAGCCAGCCACACAGTCCCTCAGCCAAAAGGAAGCTACGGGCCCCAAAACACACTGAAAAGCAATCACACCAGCGAAAAGCAGTGGGCAGCTTCCCAACTTCCTGGGTGAGCACAGGAGCCTGAAGCATTTCTCCAAGACCTGTGAGCCTGGCTGGCTTAGCCTCACCTGAGGGAGGCCCCAGCGGATGGCCAGGTAACCTCTCCTCCTGCTCACCAGTGGCCGTGATGCCCCTCAGGTGTACGTGTGCTTTAATGACCTGATCGATTTAACAGCCACCCCTAATTCACATATCCTATGACCTTAGGACAAAATAGACTTATTTTTAAAAAGTCATGGTTTTTAATACATACACTCTACAATGGTGTCATAAAAGTGTAAGCACTGTTAGAGACAATGTGGAAATGTAACAGTGCTTAAAGGCTATAAAGTGCCAGGAAGGGCTGTTGGGGCACGAGACAGACCACAAGCAGGCAGACGTGTTCCGGAGGTTGGGTTACTTGCTGATTTAAGGTGAGAAAAGTGCTGAAGAGGGGCTGTGGTAAGTCCGACCAGGATCAGTGGCTTTGCACTGCTAGACAAATCCTTGCATCCATTAGCTGCTTGACTTGCACTTGACTCCCACATCTTTTTGTCACCATGTTTGACAGCAATGAACTACAAGTCAGTATTTGCTGCAGTTCCCAGGAAGCCTTTGCGTTTGGGGACTACCATGGCCAGGATGCGATTCACAGTATACAGCTGCCCACAGCCTCACGTTCATTTTCTGTTGCTGAGGAGGAGCTGGTGAAGGCAGAAGATGACTCCGAAACCAAAAGCAGCTCCTACACAGAGTAGCTGGCTTTACCAGTCTGCCTGCAAACGGCAGCGCCTCTCATCCTTGGCCCTAGATTTGCCTGTCATCTGGTGGGGGTGATGGCCAGGACAGTCCTGTTTCTCAGGCCTGAGAGGGGGACGCTCTGGTGGCCACAGGGCAGGTGTCCTCTAACTCAGATCTCCCCTGGTGTGGCCTCAGGAGCACCCAGGGTGGGGCAGCCGAGGAGCCTAACCCAAACTGCAGGCCTTCCTTTCACATTTAACCCCTGGCTAAGGAACCTTTTCCAGGATGGGGAGCTATCCCTCTGTCCTGCGATTAAACTCCAGCAGCGTCAGAGTTTACCCTGGATTCTAGTTCTGTCCGCTTGGTGGCTCTCTGCTGCCGCAGGACTGAGTTCTCAGCAAACATGCGCTGTCTCTGGGAGCAGCCCTCTGCATCGGCCAAGGACAGCTTCACTAGCACGTCTACTACACTAACCTGTATTAAACAGGCTTTCAAATGCTGCCGTTCTTGCTTCTCAATGTTGTATCACTATCGACTTTGCTTTGTTGCTACCAATTATTATGGCTGATAAATATATACAGTCACAGGATATATAGCAAGCAATTTTCAAATAATCAGAAAAGAAGGAATCTATATGTTCATGCTAAAAAGCAAATGTAAATACACTCTGCCCAACTCGTATAGTAACATCTCATTACTAAATTAATTCTAGTTGATTAAGTACTATTTCAGTTTGAGAATTTGAAATTTAATCAAAAATTAAACTTGCAGTACTGTATTATTGAAATATTAATTAAAACTAATGCATTTAATATGTGTCACATTAAAAATGCATAAGACTGTCATTTCTTCAGTTTTTGGTTGACAGTGTATTCACTTACCTAAAATCTCACAGACAAACTTAGATTTGTTTAAAGTAAACGAGTAAAATGGCTGCCAACAGCAAGTTAATTTGAACTCGGCCATTTCTTTAGAGCCTGTTCTTTCTAATCATCAAGGAATGAGCAAAGAGCAGAAGCAGGTGTGCTAGGGCAGGTGTTCTTAGGGCGATGTGGGGGACAGCAGGCGGTGCTATGAGGCCACTTGCCCTTTCCCTGATGCCCGGAGGCCAGCCCAGCTGCATTTCCTACGCTCCCTCAGCTATGTGGAGCCTCTTCATTCAGTTCTCACCAGGGAAGCAGGGGAGCACCTGACGGTCCACCATGCCCACACTGGCACCGCCCATGTGCACTCGCATTGCCACCCTCCCAGCCCACAGAGAGCTGACCACTGGGTTACTTGCCCCATAGTTCGTGCCTCCAGCTCAAGGCTGCTCCAGTCCTGGAAGCACTAAAGAGAAATCATGAACTGCTTATCTAAGCCTCTAATCTGGGGAACTTAAATAGCTGGAGCAGTTTAGCCTATTCTTACGCTTGGTGGCCACAGTCAGAAGACTAGGAGAGCCACTGGTATCAGTAGACAGCCTGAACTCACGCACACTTGAGGAAGAACATCCACTACCATTTGTTATTTACTCAATATTTGTATAGATTGTGAAATGATCACAGTAAGTCCAGTAAACATCCACCTCCACAGAGAATCACAGATGTTTTTTGCCTGCAGAGAGGGTTGAAGATTTACTGTTAGCAACTTTCAAATACACAGCACATATATTATAGTCCCCATGTTGTCCATCACATCCCATGACTTATTTTATAAATGGAAGTTTGTACCATTTGAATCCCTTTACTCATTCTACCTAAACCCCTTGCCCCCTGGCAACCACCAATCTGTTTTCTGTATCTTTGAACTTCTTTTTTTTTGTTTTTCAGAACCCAAATATAAGTGGGATCACAAGGCTTTTGTCTGTCTGCCTGACTTCCCTATTGTAAACACCCTCTAGACACACCTGTGTTGTTGCAAAGGCAAGGTTTCATTCTTTTTATGGCTGAGTAATATTCCAGTGTGCGTGCATGCGTGCGTGTGTGTGTGTGTGTGTTTGGTAGAATTCACCAGTGAAGCTGTGATCCTTGCATCCATTAGCTGCTTGACTCGCAGGACTTTTGTTTATTGGAATCCACTACTATTTTAAATAACAGCCCTGAGTAGAAATCTAACAAGGTGACTGGCTGCTGGGTCTAACACTGTAGAACAGGTATGGATGAATGCATTATGCCCTTTACTAGAACTGACCACCCCTTTATGGGAGTGACGGTGGCCAGCCTGCCAGAGCTCCTTGACCCTTGGTCATAAGCTGCTCCCACATTCAGCTCTGAAATGGCCCCACAGTTTTATTCTTCTATGGAACAACCCCCCTCAGCTCACCTGATCCACTCGGTCCTACTGAAATTGCAACATCCATTGTATTATTTCCAAGAACCACCTGACAGTATGACGCCCATGTCTTCTCATCTCTTACCATGCCCCCTGACTTACAGTCTCAGTTTCTTACAAGTAAAGTAAATGCCCTCACTCTGTACTATCTGTAACTCCCCAGGTGGCAGCCTGGGCACTGATAGGGTCCTCACGACAGTGGAGGACACCAGTCTCTGCTAGTTGCAGAGAGAGATGGGACTCCAGCACAGTACTGAGAGCAGAGGAAAGTCTTCCCTAACTCCACGGATTGGTAGGAGATCCTGCCACTACCTGGGGAGCGGCAACAAGGGCCAAGATATGAAAGGGCTTTGAGAGCCTCAGATGAGGTGTACCACACAGCCAACATTATCATCAAGGGGTCCAGAGGGGCAGCTGCACTCTAAAGGAGGCAGCAAAACCTTGGTACAATTTTGTTAAAGACAACAATCAATTTTACTCTGACTTATCAAAAACACTGAAGTGAAGCTTGCTCTCACCTGCCTCTGCCCCAGTAAAGGGCACAAGTGCGGAGCAGCTCCCTCCCCTTTACAGTGTCCATGCCATAGAGCAGGCTGGACTGTGGGGTGTCATCAGCGTCCGGTAGGCCTTTGTAAAGGTGGCCACTGGCGTGCCTGCCAGGTGGTCCCCATCCTGACCTTTACCTGGGGCAGCTGTTCAAGGACAGGAGTAGCATTGACAATGCCCAAACTGTCAACAGAATTGTGGAACATCAGCTTTATTTCAAATCCTTACTGCCCTCTCCTTTCCAATGAGGGGATTGTTACTCAAACTCTGCATAAAAATTTAGTGTTGAGCAACTAGGTTATACTTCAGCATGAATTACTTCTTTTTTCTGTGCACAACCTGACTTTGTTTAGACTAAATGCTTATCTTTAGTGGAGGATATAAAGGAGTAACAGCTTGATCCAGAAATCAGTTTTCGTCGGCTGCACTTCTGAACTTGGTGTGCTCCTGGGTAGGAATGAGCTGCCTCCTTCTGGTTCCAGGCACCTCCCCTTTGCTTGGGAGACAGTTATGAAAAAAAGTAATAATAAATGTCTTGCCCTCTTAGAGCTTAGTGTCATTTCCCCTTTGGGCTGCCAATTTACTCCAACCTTTTGACAAAACCAGACTGTGGTGGTTGTTGAGGTCAGAGATATCCTGCGAAGTGCAGAGGTGAACCCTGGCACCACCCAAGCAATGAGCTGAGAGACACACAGCTGGGGCCACTCACTCCCACAGGACAAAACGTAGGACATTTACAAGTAAGGACAGCTCTCCTGGGCAACAAGGCAACTGGGTGATTCATACACAGACTCGACTTACCTCTACAGATCTCAACCATCCTCCCTGAAAATAAGCGGGAGCCTGCAGGTGGTGTGTGATGAACAGTGTCATCCAAATATGGAAACGTGCGACTTTGTGGGACCTAAACCGGGAGCCCTACGTCTGCTGAGCAGCAGTTCAGGTGCACCTCAGAGCTGCCTGGAAGCTGTGCTTCGGTCCCACTACACTGATTTACACAAAGGAAGCCCACATCATCAGTGAGGAGGAGGCTGGCCTGCACTTCTGCGGACCTCCACTCGTCCAGAGGACTCCCATCACACCAGCACAGTGGTGCAGAGGAAATGCAGGTGCAAGGAAGTACCTTTTGTTTGTCTTTCTGTAAATCATTCTATTTTCAATGTACTAGGCTTCACACCCATCTGCATTTATGATTTGCTCATATTTTCTGCTATATAAAGTTAGAATACCATCCAGTAACTTCTTATGTTAAAAGAAGGCAAATACCAAAGACAAACCACTTAGGAAGTATCATTAAACATGCACCCTTATAGTGCAACAAAATACTCTGACAGGTGTGTGTGTGTACATATACATACATACATACATACACATACAACACAGAAACTGCTTTTTTCAAGTCAGGGAGGCAAATTACTCTGTTCTTGGCTTTTTATTTCTCTTGGTCTTTCTCCTTTTATCTCCTAGGAACATCTGAACAGCAGTTACTGTTCAAGTCCGTCAAATTATCTCAGCCTGAAGTTCAGTACCGAGATTTCTAAGCGTCCCTTCCTGAAAGCTGATCCTAGAGTCCCCTCGACTCCAGGCTCGCCAGGAGTCACCACCCGGACACGTCCCAGAGGCTGCTGTTCAGAAGTTAACCTGACGATGTAATTATAGCCCCGCAGTCTATCACCTGGGGCAGCAAGCATTCCTAGCCAGGCACACGCAAGCGTCACTCCGATCATGAGTTGGGAAGAAAGTGCTGACCCTTCGCACCCCAGATCGAGGGCAAGTACTGAGCAGTTAGGTCACTGGGGCAGTGTTTCTGGACATTCATGTCCCCATCCAGAGTTACTGAAAACTGCCCCAACACACACACACACACACACACACACACACACACACACGCACGCATGCACACCGGACAGTACTCAAGAGCCCCTGGCCCACTCCTCTGCTGCGGCACACGGGCCACCAGGCCTGTTCCCTCCCCCCACCCCCGTGTCCTGAGTCCCAGCTGAGCTGGCCCCTTTCTGCGCAGATCTTCCTCGTGCCCCTGCTCCATGTGCCCCTCTAGGTCTGATGACCACTCACCGGGGCTCAGGGACTTGGTTTGCGACAGCTGCACCTGGGAGTTCATTAGAAGTGCCAAACCCCAGGCCCTGGTCCCCTGAATCAGAACTTCCACAAGACCCCATGATGCCCTTGCACTTGAGGTCTGAGCAGCGCTAATGAGAGCAGGGCCAAGATGGTTGTGTAAAAATGCAACAGCCCTGCAGAGGGAGATAGATATCAGAGCAGCCAGTGGAAGGGTTCCTGAGGCCCAGGGGTGGGAAGAAAAACGTTCCCCGGTGGGAAGAGGGGGGAGGGCACAAGGACAGCCTTTAGCTGAGCAAGCGGGGAGGGGGGAGCCTCGTGGGGACCCGCCTGCTGATAGATCTCTGGGCCCAGCGACCATCAGGGGACCACAAGGAGGTGTGAAGCGGTGACTCTCTGGCTACATCCTGAGGACTACGGTCAGGGTTTGAGGATGGCTGCACACAGAGTGTGGGGGCCAGAGGGCCTCCAAGGCTGTGGCCGGAGGTGCACGGTCACAGAGCTGTCATTCTAGAGACTCTGCCTCCGTCCCCTCCCCGTTTCCCAAACAACTTGAATGCCACTCACTCTGTCAGCCCACGTGCAGGCAGCTGGACTTGTTCCTCAGAGCGCAGGGAGAACAGACAGATACCCACATCTTATAGGAACAAAAGGCAAGCTGTGTTTTGAAAGGGACATCTTCTATGTCTCTTCCCTCTGAACATTAAACTCAGCCATGAGGTTAAACATCTACAGTACACCTTTTCACTCTAAGAACTAAGTATCAGCATTAGGCTCATGATCCACTGTTCAGGTTCTGGCTGTGTATTATTCCCATTTGGAAAAAAACTCACTGACGCTTTAAAACCAAAAACCTTCCTTTGATAGTTCCCAGATTTGCTTTAGAAAGAGTATGATATGAAAATACAAAAAGCTACTTTTAATGGGCAAGCAGGTATGCAAAGACCCTTAGGATCATTTCTCTACACTACGTTTTGGGGTCTTTTTTTCCCCCACTCTTTGATAGGAGCTTTATCTAGAAGACAGTGGATTAGAAAAGGAAAACTGTGGCTACAATACAGTAGTCTAATGTTGCTGGGAAACAAAGAGGTAACATGTATTGTCATGAAAGCTATAAAATCGCCTCATCTTTTGATTCCCTAGTAATGTTGGCAAGGCTCTTTCATAAGAAACCCCAAGTGACAAAGGGTTTTTAGGACAGAGACAGCCTTCTTGCTGTTTATAACACCAGAGAAAAGAAGCAAGAAGTAATGGGGCAGTGACCCAGCTTAGACTGAGTACTAAATGTAAGCTCACCCCTGCGCTGGGACCCATTCAGTCCCGGGTCATCTGCACAGGGACCCTGGGGTGGGGATCACAGACCCAATGGCTAAAGATGTGGTTCTAAGGGGTCTTGGAGTTGTACCTGCTAACGTAAGAATCCAAATCCAAGCAAAAAGAAAAGTCATGCTTTTCGCTCTTCATAGAAAATCATACAGCCTTTAAAAACAATCACTGAGAGACCCTGATGGGCCAGAGACACTGTAAATTACAGGATGCCAAATGACAAACAGGACAACGCTATCTTGGTGGGAATCAGGTAGACGCAGAGGTCCATGCTGAGACAGGCTCGAGGGAACATGCAGTAGGGCAGGAAACCGTGCTGGACTGTGGGCATTCTATGGGACCACCCCTCATTCCAACTTTAAAACTTCCCATATGCTATTTATTTTACAATTTTGTATATAAAAAAAACAGTTTCAAAAGGTAAAGGTTATACTTTTTAAGTATCTCTTCAAAACTGATTATAACAAAAATTTGTTCTACATCACAAACACGTGGCTCAGCCCTCAGGACATACTTTCTGCTCTCAATCTGTGAACACTCCCAAAATGGAATTTCAGCTCTTTCAGGCCAGAATGGCAGTTTCAGGACTTGGTGTGCAAATACTGTCCCCTTGTGGCAGAACTGACTCAACACATGCTTCTGAGGAGCATTTTCAAGTTCTTGACAATCAACTTGACACAGGATTCCTAACAGGCCCTTGCAAGCTGGGTAGAAACATAGGATCTCATGAAGCATGGGACTCCATGTGACCAAAATATGGAATCTGCCTTACAACTTAGTTTCTAATAACTTATTCTAAAAGTGCCATTTACTGGTGGGTGCCCCTATAAAATCCTGGGCTCCTCAGTGCAGGACCAAGTACAACAGCGGCCTCCTCAGTGGGGAACACTGCAGCCCGACTCCAGGAACTGTTCTGGGCTTTTGGATATATGGAAAGCACCTCAGAACACAGAGAGTGGATTCTTCCATCCATGACAATGACAGAATATTCCTGTAACTAACTTAACAGGGCAACTGGAAAATGGCCCCAGAATACTTCCAATTTTAAAAGAATTGAGGCAGTGGTTTCTGAGATAGCTCAAGTTGATAAATTTTAAATTGGTCAAATTCATAGAATTTGACTTTTTTGTTGTTCTTTAGCCCAGGCAAGGGGCCGTAAAAACTCAGTTACTACAGTTCATTTTGAAATTTGCCCAACATTCCACAGTTAATAACAGAACCAGAATTAGAACTCAGGTCACTTTCCTCCTGTACCAAAATGTCTGCTACTTTATCAGACTGATACCATATTTGTGTTGTGGCATTTCTGTGCTGAATCACCAGTTAGCTGTATCAAGCTGCATCCTATACACGGCTTATCACCACTGTTTATGTGACTTAGGAGAAGAGCAGAGGATGGAGACAGACACAGAGAGAACCATTCCCACCTGGCTACAGTCACACCCAGTGGGGACCGACAGCATCCCCTCCCTACACCTCGGGACATGGATGTGCGGGATGAGGGATCTGTGTGCTATGTATTGATGCAGAAAGAAGAGTTCCTGGAAAATGTAAAATTCCAGGAAAACTGCTTGAAATGATTTGGGTACTGATTATATTTGCTATGATTCAAGGACCCTTTGACTAAGAAAATGAAGATGTATCTTGGAATAGAGTAATTTTTATTTTAACTGAAATTAACCTTCCAGGGAAAATATGATTATTCTGGCCATCTACATAGGATAAATTATTTTGAAATGAAAATCTTTTCTCTCCTGATTCTTCAGGTTATAAATACAATAAATCACTTACATTTTCTAAAGGTAAAATAATAAGCAATAATATCTGCAAGTTTTCTAATAAAGGTCTGATCTAGTTTACTCCCCATTGCAAGAATGCTTCCTAAGGGTGTAAGCTGAGCTCTGTAACTGCTGATCCTGACAAGGAGCCTGCAGGGTGGGCAGTGTTAAGCCTGTTAAACAGAGGAGGAAAGTGGAGGCAGAGAGGCCACTGTACTGTGTGGGACTGGAGGCTCACCGCTCACACCATAAGGACAGATGCCAACACTCAGTTGGAAGTCAATGGCTTTGGAGAAGTGTATCAAAATGACAGCAGAGTACTCTGAAGTAATGTTACATCACCAACATGCTTGACAGAAGCAAGCCTAGTATCAAACATTAGGTACAATAGATATAAAGAAATTCCATGGACATAAAATACATCAATAACCATAAGTAGACATCAACAGATCTGTTTGAGCACTTGGCCTCTGGGAACCAGGAATTCCTATGTCTGTATAAGGGAGACTACACATTACAGAGCTGTGGGGAGGTGGAGCTAAGTCCCAGAACTAAGCAGGTGCCCACCCCGGGCAGGTGTCCAGCGGTGGCTGTGCTCACTGTCATCACTGGCCACCATCGTTTTGTTAGGACAGTTTCTTTAGGTGCTGTCCTGCCTTAGGGCTTCAAACCCAGTAAGCTCTTACTTGTCAGCTGGTAATTAATCTACCACACCACAGCTTCACTTACTGACTTTCATTTTCAATAAAACTAACCTTTAAAAAATGGGGGAAAAAAAACATATCCCAAAAGACACTCCTATCACTATACAACATTCTTCCTCCTCCCCTTTAAGAGCTCCATGGTCCTCAACACTGAGCGTCCTACCACAAGCCCCTACTGACAGGCATTTGAGTTGCTTCCACCTCTGGTGGTACAAACAATGCTGTCATTAACAGCTCTGCACATAAACTGCTATAGATTTTTGCCAGTGAGTCTTTGGGATAGATTTCTAAAAGCAAGATTTCTGGGACAAAGAGTAAATGCATATGTAATTTGGCTA